AGGTTCATGGGTAGTTATAAGGCTCCCTTTTAAGGGATCTATAAGAGAGTTCTATAAGGGATCCTATAAGGGGTCCTATAAGGGGTCATACTTGGAGGTTCATGGGTAGTTATAAGTAGGGTTACAAGTAGGGTAGCTATAGTTATAGCCTATACTAGGGGACTTATAACTCCACTTAGAACTACGCATGAACCTCCAAGTGCGGTGACTGTTGCCCTACATCCTACACATGGCACCCTAAACCGTAAATCTTCGCGCCGGATACGGAGGTCTGAACACCTTATAGAATGGTTCCGACATGCCTATACTACTGTACGATACATCAAACTCCCAAACCCCAACTTAGAGCCTCCACCCTGTAAACGCTTGGCATTGTAAATACTCGTCAAATCCCAGAACTTACTAGTAATTCCTTACAACAACCGGTACACACCTTCTAATCACTGCCAGAAAGGCCCTAAGCAAGAATAGCGTAAATTAAGAACCCGCAAAGAAGCAGGTTGACGGACGTGCAGCACATCGCGGCCTCCAGCCACGCCTTCGCGGCCGTCCGTGCAGACGGCCAGGTGCTGGCCTGGGGAAACCCAAACTGGGGTGGCAAAGCTGAAGCTCGGTGTTGGCTTAGGGGTTGGTTTGGGTTTAGGGGTTCAAGGATTAGGTGTTCATACACTTTTTTTTGAGTTTGGGGTTTAGGGCTTTTTGATCTGTTTGCCTGTTATTTAATTAGTTACAAGGTTCCAAACAGAAGGCAAGCTCAAGGCTAACCTGGCATTACATTCAGATCACCTCGGACCCAGGACACGCTGCGCTTGCGCGCGCAGCTGCAGGGGGTGAGGGAGGTGGTGTCATCGGGCGCAGCATTTGCAGCCCTCCGGCGCGATGCAACGGTGGTGACATGGGGTTTGTCTCGGTGTGGCGGTGCAAGTGTGCACGTGCAGAAAGAACTGGTGGGTGTCAGCCGCATAGTGGCCGCAAGGTATGCCTTTGCCGCCTTGCGGACAGATGGATCTGTGGTGACCTGGGGTAGCATGACCTCCGGTGGTGACAGCCGCGAGGTGGAAGGGGAACTGGTAGGCGTGAGGGACATCGTGGCTTCTGAGAGGGCTTTTGCAGCGATCCGTTCTGATGGACGTGTGGTGACCTGGGGACAAGGCGGAGGACGGGATCTTGTGGCTGTTCGTCATCAGCTGCATGGGATTCAGTGGATGGCTGCCACCGACTCGGCCTTTGCAGCGGTGCGGACGGATGGCCGGGTGATCACATGGGGATCGCCCGAAAGCGGAGGGGACAGCCTGGCTGTCCAGCCACATCTTTGGGAAGTGGTGCACATCTGGTCCACTGCACGGGCCTTTGCAGCACTGCGACAAGACGGAAGTGTCGTGACTTGGGGTGCTTCTGAGTATGGTGGTGATTCTTGCCATGTTCAAGCACAGCTTCGTGATGTCTTGGAGGCGCCATGGCTTCATGTTCCATAGGCTGCCCCAACGATTTTTCGTTTCGCGGTTACAGTTATAATTGGTGCTATTATAAGCCCCTGGAGTGCGGTTCTCCCAATTATAACCTTGCTTAGAACCTTACTTACTTAGCCCCTCGAGCCTTCAAGTAATCTCCTAGGTAGTATTAGGAGTCCCCTTAAAAGGGACCCTTCTTAACCCTACTTTTGGCTCTCTTAAAAGGGACCTGACTGAGAGTGTCTATATTTCCAAGGGTCCCCCTGACCCCAACTCCTAGAATCGTCTTTCGAACTGTGAGACCCCTGAACCCTAAACCCTAAACCCTAAACCCTAACCCCAACTCCTCTAGAATCCTCTTTCGAACCGTGAGAGCCCCAGAAGGTTGCAGCTTCACACGCAGCTTTCGCCGCGCTCCGGGAGGATTCATGGCCCATTTTGGGGTTTAGGGTTTAGGGTTTAGGGGTTTAGGGGATGGCGAAACAGTTTTCCAGGTGGGTGGTTGTCAAAATGATGGTCCCTTTTTGGGTCCTTATTATAATACGGCACCTGTTATTTATCGTACCCCAAAAGGGACCCTAATTTTGACAACCACCCAGGTGGTTTTTAGGGCCTGACAGGGTTTTCGCTGTAGGAATGGAGGGCCTTTTCAGTGCTACATGGGCTCTATCGCATGCTGGAAGTCATAAGGGCTTGACAGGGTTTGTGTGAGGGCCTTGGACAGAAAATATCGGGAGTGTTGTGTTTTTTGTTACTATTACTGGGTTCCAGAGGAGCACATAGGCACAGACAGGGGGCAAACGAGGGCTCTGTGTTTCGGTTCGGCATGTTGAACACCTGACTTCACGTTTTTGGGGGTTACCACAATCCCTATATGGGGAGTTCTCTACAATAGGGTCCGCCGGCGTCCTCGTCGTCCTAGTCGTAAAGCTAGCGCTGCTACCGAGTATTGCAAGTATGTATTGCAAGTATGAGACTGCACCTGAAGCTCTAAGCCCTAAACCCTGCAGTATGCGACTGCAGGTGTGTTTTGCAAGGCGGTGATTGTCAGTACGGTCTTAAAAGCATTGTCAAGACAGGACGATGTTCCGCAGCGCAACCATCCTTACAGGTACAGTTACCTATGCTTTTTTTTGTTTTTTCTTTGTTTTTTTTTGGAGGGGGGGTGGTGTCCTTATTACAGTTATAGTCAAAGTATAACCTACCCAAAACCCTACTCCAATTATTAAGGCCCCTATTGTAGCACTGTTAAGCCTAAACCCTAAACCCAACAGCCCTAAACCCTAAATTCTAAACCCTGAAGCCCTAAACCCCAAACCTTAGCCGCATCGGTGTTGCTGCAGAGCGGGTCCAAGCTCTGCGAAACTCTACAGAAGTGCAGTGGAAAGAACCGTCCGAAAGGAAGCCTAAACCCAGGGGTATATAGAAATATTTCTTAATCTTTGGTTATCATAATCCCTATGAAACAGCTAAAACTAAAATCGCTGGGGTCCCAAGCTCAGTATAGCAACATAACCCAAGTCTAGCCATGAAGGCTCCTATACTACCCTTGGTACGATTTTTTCAATCATGTCACCCCATCTGGTAGGTCTCTAAATTAGGGTCCCCCTTAGGGTCCTTGTTTATAGGTGCCGTGTTATTTTGGCGACCCAAAAAGCGACCCTAATTTAGAGAATTACCCCTATAAGCCCCAAAAGCCTCCTTCTATAAGACACCCCCGCCAAACCTGCCCTCCACCCATAAAGAGCCAACCCTGGGTTCTTATTAGGGAGTTTAATTTGAGTCACCCCAATAGGGATCCATACTAAATAATAGGGCTTCCTTATTATTGTGAGCTAAAGTGCATGGAGATCCATAGTCAATACTAGGGTTTAGTTATTATGGTGACTTAAATTGTAGTAAAATAATTGGTCCTTCCTCATTATGGTGGCTTAATTTGCATTCCTTACCAAGTCTAGGACATTTTCAGGTGGGTGTTAGAAGGTTTATATACCTTCTAGAAGCCTTATAGAAGCCCTATATACCCTAAACTCCCACCTGTAGCTTCCTTTAACCCTAAACCCTAAACCCTACAGAATCGACGGCCAATACTTTAGGTTCTTACGGAGGGCTATTGGGACTAAAGCGTCCTACTACTCACACATCAGTAACAAGGAGGTTTGGAATCAAGCCCAGTGCCCCACCCTACCTTCACAAACTCTTACCTATCGCCAATGCCAGTTACACATCAGGTTGTTGGAACTACCTAGAGAAGAACCCGCACACAACGTTGTTTTTGGACCTGCGTTTAAAGATAGAATCCTCCTTAAAGGTCGCAGAAGAGGTATGCAGTTTCCATATTGGTCAGAAGTTTATTCTTCGAGATTCTTCCCCCAAGTTAAGCCGGACCACACCGCCAACCCCAACAGTCGGTACTTGAAAATAGCCAAGCCGGTGAAAAGCCCTTCTTTTGAGCTGGCGCCTAAGCGCGCATTTACAGAGCGCGCATGGCCATAGCAAAAAGAGACCCTAAACCCTAAACCCTTTTTAAAGGAACCCTAAACTCCCCACCTGTAGTTTCCTTTAACCAAGAGCCCAGAACCCTAAACCCCTAAACCC